AATATAAAATTGTAACATAAAAATCCATATTATTAATTAAAGTTTACACCCGATGTCTGGTCAAATTGCCACATTTCCAAATTACTCAACACTTTTCTTATCGCAACTAACCAATTTCTTCAGACATTTATCAGTGGCACTTCCCCTGGAAAAGCTAAGCCCCCCCCCCCCACCCACCCCGAGCAAAATGTGTACAACAATAAAATGAAAATATATTTTATTTTAAAAAAAGAGCTACCGAATTGCCATTGTTTAAAAACAATTTTAAAAAGAATAGTAAATGTTGCCATTGACCGATTACAAATAGGTGGAATCTATGGAACATCACTACGCTAGGGTGACCAAATTATGAACTGGAAAAAACGGGACACACCCAAGGATGGTTGTTTGTGAGGATACCCTCCAGAGAGGGGCCGGAAATGGATTATTGAATTATGCTCATTTTTAACTATTTTGAGACCTAGAAATCTTTTTAAATTTACCTTCACTTTTGTAATTTAATTTAAAGTTTGAGGCATATCATAAACGAAAACAATAATTTTGCAGTGAATACTAATTTATTTATACGTATTTTACAACATAATACAACACAACAAATTACATTTCTATAATGTAGGATTTAAATTGAGGATATTGGGCTGTTGTCCCAGCCATTGTTAAAACCCCCTTCTTATCTAATATGTGAAAATGTGTTGTTTTATTTAGAAACGGGACATTTAGGCGTCACGAAAGTCTTTTTCTGGACACCGGAGGATCGGGAAAAAACGGGACAATCTCGTTTTTACGGGACGTTTGGTTACCCTACACTTCGCTCGATATATTTGATGACCCTTATATTTGAGGCTAATCTCGATAGAGGCTTACACAATCTAATTTGATTATAAATATCGTACTGTTTGGAAAATTGGCCGCCCCCGTTTATGAGCCAAAGACTTACTTCTTTTTTCCGCATATATCAGTATTTTTATTTAATTATTTTTTGCAACTTCACACGTTTAAAGACTTTAATACCATGGTATTAAAACACCTTTATATAAAGATGAATGTCTATAATTTTAATACATTTCTCGCTTACTATCATTCTGTTTTCAAAGTATATTCCATCATAAAAGAATGACTTTTAAAGAAGGGATAGGTGTTAATTATAAATTGTATGATGGGCTACTGCTTTTCAAATGGCTGCGACTATTCGTACCCGGGTACCAGAAGTGAGAGGTTGGGATTAAAAAACCTTCATTTCTGCTCACTCTTCTATCAAAGGGACAGTATCGACAACTTTTTAGCTACCCGGTTTAAAAAAAAAAAAGAAATAAGAAAAAAATGGATTAACTTTCCAGGGGGGGGGGGCAAAAATTTTTTAGTAATGTTTTAATGTAGTTTTAATTTACTGTAGCGTATTTGTATTTTTTCGGAGGCGACTATTATATTAATCATGAAAGAGCCACGGGTATGGTGTAGGATTGTCTGTAGTGCTGTCTGAATAATATAAAAAACAAAAAAAACAAAAAAAACAAACAAACTTGCAGGTAGGGTGTAGGACTTTCTGTAAGCATATTGCTAAAAGGCAGGTAGGGTGTACGAATGTCTGTAGCCTGTAGGTCCATTATTTAAAGGCTGACAGGTAGGGTGTAGGACTGTCCGTAGGACTACTGTTAATGAGAATTTAACTCTTTTTTTTTTTTTTTGGTAACACTTGGACCCACAAGGTATTTTCTCAAAATACCCGGACCCGGTGTAAAAAATTGCACCCGGTTAAGCCCTCGTTTAAATTTAATATCCATGTTGTTGGTAGAGCCCCCGGGGGCTATGATCAACGTGTCTGTTGTGGCGTGCCGACAAAAGAGGTGCTTCCATCGACTACCCGGGGAACATAATCACCGTTGCGAGAGCCAGCCTCAACAAACCGGCCAAGTTTTGATTTTTCCCAACCCCAAACCACCACCCCTTGAAAAAAACAACAACAAATGAAATGACGTTCTTGTGCCCTCCACACCCCCCCCCCACCACGGATCTCACGGCAACTCCGCTGATATCACATATAATGGGGTTGGTTGATTTGGGGTATAGAGGGGGCGGCCTGCGATGGGCGGCAGTTTTTGTTTTCTTTATATGGAGCACGGGCGGTATGGTCGGCCAACTGAAGATGTTTTTCTAGGAAGGTGGGGGAAGGGGTCAAAATCCCTGGCCAGCCCCGTGTGGCACTAATCATAGCTACACCAATGTTGATGTTTCTCTATGCACCTTGAAGAGACTTGAATTTATAAAATCACATTCATCAATGTAATACATACAAAAGAATTGTACGAATTAAAAAAAATTGTTGTTGTAGGCTGATCATTGAAGCTCTATCTAAGCTCATAGCATATTACGCGGCACTTTTCTCTGTATATGGAGAAGCGGCATTTTAAGCCACTTGCAGATTTTGATCGTGTATTAAAGGGACGGAAAAACCCTTGACCCGCCCCGGGCAGCTTCTGCCCTAGTTTCGCCACTGCCTCCACTTCTAGTAATTCTTCAATCATTGAACGGTTTTGCAAAATTTTAGTACATTTTACAAAGTAAAACAAAAAAGGTCTTCCTTTCGTTGTCTGCACCATCATTGTAATGGCCAGTCTATAACTTTATAAACATAGAAGCTTTGTTCAACGAGTAAATGATGATATATGAGGGACTGCATGCAAAGCATGTAAAGTAAATAAATAGTGGAACGATATATGTTTAGGCTTGAAAATAAAAGACACGACAATGAGTAACTCCTATGACACGGACACCCTGAGCCCTGAGGGAATCATCTAATGGGATTGTTTTCTTAAGAGCCTAGTCTGTGTTTTGATTTCTTAGCCATGGCCAACATTCTGGGTAATGAAAGAATGATAAATCATTCTAATACAATATATTTAAGACAATAAATATTTATTGATCAAGTTACAAATATTTTGAACATTGGAAAAATTACAAAATTTATGACTTAATTTTTTTTCAATTTTTTTTTACCTGTTAAATTTAAAATTAAAAAAAAATTTTTTATTCTACCTGGACAGGCCAATCTGGCATGTGTTGAAGTGAACCAATCAAATTCTTTTGTGTGATGTTTAAAGAAACAAAATGGAATCATGAATATGGCGTTCAATGATGTTTAAATAACGTTGTTATTGTTTTGCCATGGATATAATAATTAATAAAGTTGATCGTGTGGATCATTTGCACTCTCTTATACGCCAAGACTTGAGAGATTTAGGTGTGAAACTTCCAAAATCAAAGAAGTTAAGAAAGCTCAATCATTCGCGAAGAAGCATCTCAGTACCGGGATCACAACAGGTGCGGAATCCAAAAAATATTAATTTAATTCAATCGATAAATAAGCATACAAATAATATAAGTAGGCTTAATGTGATGCATTTAGTGAATATTGTGCTTTATATCTTTCAATTTGAATTTTCTGTACAGTTAAATATCTTTAAAATGTCAGTATTCGTATCCGGTAGGCCTATTATTCAAGTATTCTTTTACTACCAAAATTGCAAAAAATGTTAAGTGTGAGGTGCTTTTCACTGGTACTGGACTTCTAGGTAGTTCTATCAGCTTTTATTAAAAAGCGGCATAATCTTTACTGGTTGTGGGAGTTTAGCTCTTGGAGTAATTGGGGTTTCCAAGGGCCAATTAGTTATTGTGGCGGCAATGTGATCAGTCATTTTGCAATGAATTTGATCATTCCTGCTTCCATCTTTTTCCTGACAACATGACTTTAACATTCACATTGTCATCAGATTACAACTTAAGTTTAAGTCTTAATACAAAAATATCTATTAAATGTTTTTAATTGCTGTGAACATTACACAAACAAACCATCAACTGAGGCTATGCGATGGAAAGGGGTAATTAATTTCAGGTCATCACAGACAGATGAGCAGCAGGTCTCCATCACGACTATACCGTAGCATAGTTCTGTTACGAAGAGATTGGTTTCCCAAGTATGTTGGGCCCATGGCTTGGGAGTCTAATATAAATAAGATATATTTAAATATGAGACTGTAGCTCTGACTTTCTTTTACTTTATAATTATAATTTATACTTACTTACACTTATACTAATATAAACTTTGGTAATTTTTACTCAGGATGTCTTCAGTGGAAAAATATTTGGGGAACCACTTTCTCATGTGCCATGTACTTTTCTAACAGATTATGGATATGTACCACAGTAAGTAGAACTAACCTAAAAATGAATTGGTCATCCCATTCATACATTTTTACCTTCTTATCTGTTTTTAGCTAGCCACCGTTAACAGAGGCAGTTTAAAATGGCCAGACAGGATTATGACTTTGAGTCATAAAGTAGATAAAGCACCATATAAAAATACTTCAGTCACTGTTTTTTTTTAATAATAGAAAAAACCCATAAACAATGGGGACTGCAATGCATTTAAGTTACATGACAAAAAATGCATTCAAGTAACACACTTCACCATAAGAATTCTAATTAGTGCTAGTTTCTAGGAATTTTATTTCCTGCGCCTATTGAATCTAATTCCTAATGCACAGCGTTACAGCCATGTATATCTAGAGAATTATTAATTGTGATTATTCATGATCAGGGCTAGACAAAAACAGGGCGCTTGATAACCAGTGTCTGAAACTTTTTAGGTGCACCCAAATTTTTAAATTCAACTTTAAAGGTAATCATGCTGGCATCTGAAAAAAATGGGGCAGGCTCATACATTTTTATTGAAAATTGAAAATAAAACAGTTACTGATTATAAAAATAATAAAATTACAAGTTTGTTTCATTCTCATTCACAGAGACTATAATTTTCTCTTATCTAATTTTTCACTGTTTAAATGGTATCAGATATTTTGATATTTGTATAAAAGTTTTTAATCTGTACTCATAGGAGAAAGCCTGTAAATTAAAATATATATTTTTTTAAAGTTACTCTTTAATTTGATACATGTAGACAGTTTTTGAAAAATGAAGAATAACATATTTTGTCTCCTTCCATCAGATTTCTGGTTGCAGCAACAGACATTATAGATCAACATCTTGTTTGTGAAGGAATATTTCGTAAATCCGGTTCTCTCAATCGACAGAAAGAATTAAGGGTAAGTGTATTTTATTCTTTATGCAGTATGAAGAAAAAAGTTATGGAATGCTTTTTTAAAGTGTTTTAAAAAGATTTAGTTCATCTATTTGTGGTAAGCAACTTTTTAAAAAAAAGTGGGGGGATGGTTATATAGATATTATTTTTTAACCATAACAGATTACATTGCTTAAATTGCTTGGTTATCAATCTAATGAATACTTATTGGACTAAAAATTAATGTAATTTCAGCTAGCTATTGATGAAAAGAAACCTCTTGATGGAGCGAATGTTTTTGATTTGGCTGCATTAATAAAGCAATTTTTTCGGGAGCTGCCAGAACCCTTATTTATCACCGCTTACCATGATTCTTTTATTAAGTGCTATCAACTTCCACCTGATAAAGATCCAGTAAGTTTCTGTTTTAAGATCTATTATTTTAAAGTAATTGAAGTTTGATCTTTTTGTCAAGATATCTAAAGAGATTAAAAAAATTGTTATGAAAAATGTGACCTTAAGCATTTGGAACACATTTCATTGTGCTTTTAAAAGTTTTGAGTACCAGCCATCAGGCAATTATCATCTTCATTAAGAATCAGGCAATTATCATCTCATTAGTAATTTGGTAATGATCATCTTCATTATTCATTCAGAAAAAACATTGCATTGAATTTTTAAAAGTTTTCTGTAACAGTAATCAGGCAATTATCATCTATTCTAGTAATTTGGCAATTATCATCTTCATTGTTCATTCAGAAAAAAACATTTCATTGAGTTTTTAAAAGTTTTCTGTAATTGTAATCAGGCAATTGTCATCAATTCTAGTAATCAGGCAATTGTCATCAATTCTAGTAATCAGGCAATTATCATCCTCATTTGTTAATTTAAAAAAATAACATTTCATTGCCTTTGATGCAATTTTTTTCTACAGTTGACTTTGTCATGTGGGAAGTTATAAAGTCATAATATTCCAGCTTTTGATTTTTAAATCAATTTGGATGCCTTGTAATGGCCAGTAATTTTTTCTAAAAATCCATTCAGTTTTTATGAAGCCATAATATTCCAACAGCTGAATGGATTTTTAGAAAACATTACTGGCCATTGCAAGGCATGCCCATAGATTTAAAAATCAAATGACTTAGTTCATAAAGTTAATAATAGAAAAATCCTTATTTATTTCTACCAATTTCTTTAGAAAAAGGCCCTGCTTCAGATGTGCTTGCTTTTGCCCATTGAAAATATCGGAACTCTGAGGTTCACCATGCACATGTTGAGTCGAGTGGCATCAAAGTGTGAGAACAACAAGATGACTGCCAACAACCTGGCCTTAGTGCTGGCACCCAACCTGATGCACAACAACAAAGGCGGCCAGAAGATGAGTTCCACGGAGGAGAAGCTGCTCCATATTCAGACGTGCATTGTTGAGCTTCTCATTAAAAACTGGGAACTCATCGGCCTGGTCAGTCCTTCCTTACAACAACAGGTCTGTATGATATTTAGATTATAGAGATTAGTGCTACTAAAGATTGTAGTTTATTGTTTTGTTTTCCCCCCTGTTACTAGTCATTAACCAGAATTAAATGTTTCAATAACAAGTGCTAGTAGAATTCACTCACATAATGTGGACAGAAGTTTCTCTGCCTTTTCACCTAATATTACTCTTGTAAAATGTAAGAGGTTGTCAGTTTTTAATTCTCTACATTTCTTACTTATTTTGAAAGTCTATATTCATATTTTCTTGATTTACTTGTCCACTTTTACTTAGACTTTTAAAGCTGGCTGTTTCAACATAACTAGAGACTCTGGAGTAAGTGCAGATGCCAACTAAAACTAACCTCCACTTTAACTTATGTTGTCTGTAAAATGTATATTAGGAACATGTGTAACAGTTGGTGTTGAAACAGAATCATTGAACCGGAACTCTTGTGGTGCTTTTTATCCATTTGAACTATGGAAAAAGTTTTTATAACAATATGCAGTGGCGTAGCGCGGGGGGGGGGGGGGGGGGGGCCCGCACGGGTGACACCTTTTTAGGGGTGACACCCAATGAAAACATTGAGTATTTACAGAGCACACACTGCTCTTTTTAGAGGTGACACCCAATTGAAACATTGAGTATTTACAGAGCACACACTGCTCTGTCTGACCGAGATTCATAAAAGGATAACCAATCACACATACATACTTCACAAATGTAACCAATCCAAATGCGTGCTTTATTAAAAGTTTAAGTTTGATGCGTCAGAAATGAGATGACCCTATGTTTAGGTCAGAACAACACTGTCAATATTCCACGCCGATTGAAGTTTTGGTAACTTCCGTAAGTGACAGGAGGCTATATTTATCTAAATTCTGAGAAATAGGGCTTTCCATTGATACCAAATACAGTGTGGTCGATTTTAAGTGTAAGAATTGGTAAGCATTGGTAAAATTTAAAAACATTAAAAATGAATTTTTAACCATTTATAGGGTTAAAAAAATATGTTATTTTACACAATTTTCAATCTTTTAATGATTAATTCTTATTTATTTAAATAAAGAAAAGAATTTTGAAGACATAATAGTATATAATATTATATATTGAAATCCAGAATTGCTCAAAAATTAATACCCCCCCCCCCCCCCCCCCCAAAAAAAAAAAAAAATTTCTAAAAAATAAAAATAAATAAAATTATTTATTAAGAACCAGAAATCCTCAAAAAATAATCCCCCCCCCCCCCCCCCCCATTCGTCTCTAGTATCGCCCCATATCATTTGATCACGATTGTCATATTTTGACTGCTGGGTTTTACCTGCTACCTTTCTGTATTGTATTTTGGATAGTTCTCTGACTGTTGTTTTTTAAATGTCGTCAGTAGACTAATTATTTTGTTTGTTGTCTTGAACATGACAAAATTAAAGCATTTTTATTGTTCAAGATTATTATATAGTGCGGCACGGCGGGCACAAATCTAGCTTGGCTGTCAGCAGTGAAAAGCAAAAAAGAAAATACACAACTCAATGAAATCACTACCAGAATACATGCTTTGATATCAAGAATCCAAATGATGACCAGGGTCAATGTTCATCAAAAACTTTCCTCAGCCTGATATTCTCCCGATATCAGCATCATGCATTCTTTTTAGCAAATAGTGGAGAAAATTTTCGTTCTGAAATTATTCAAATATGGAGTACCTCGTTTCAGAACAAGTACGGATTATTCAGCGTAGTGACAAAGCAAAATGCGAAATCTAAAGGAGGTTTTTTTGCCCACTAACAAAACAATGGATTTGTGGTCGTGGATGATTTATTCACTCGTCAGTCAGAAATTGTATTGTTTTTGCAGCAGATTGATGCTGTTAATGTTACAGAAACAACATCCAAATTTGTTACTGGCTAGTATCTCTTCCAATACTCTCGATAAGCCTTTAATTTTTTTGCACAAAATATGTGTATGTGGTTTCATGTGAGCGAAGCTTTTCAAAACTAAGTCTTATCAAGAAATATTTATGATCCACCATGGGACAGTCTAGGCCAGGGGTAGGAAACCATGGCTTGCGAGCCAGATGTGGCTCTATTGATGGCTGCATCTGGCTCGCAGACAAATGTATGTTTAAAAAAAAGTAGCATTAATGGTAAGAAATACTCATTAGCAACAGCATAACAATGTTATTAAAAAGAATTCAGAGACATAATTATTGCATTTTTAGTGTTGAAATTACACAAAATGCACACATTTACTTGAATTTTTAGTTTTAAACATAATGCATGGCTCTCACAGAATTACTTTTCAAAATATGTGGTGTTCATGGCTCTCTCAGACAAAAAGGTTCCCGACCCCTGGTCTAGGCTTTCTGATGTTGCTCTGGTATCAATTGAAAGTGATACAGTGAATTACATTGATTTTGATCAAGTCATTGACAGGTTTGCAGCTTTGAAGACAAGGAAAGGCACATTTTTAATAAAGTAAATTTAATGTAAAAATAACTATAACTTAAAAATATTATAGTTTTTAAATACCTTGACCTCGTGACCTTCGATTTATGTGTTTTTGTTCTTGTCATTGTTACACTGTGGACTTATTTTAACTAGAATAAATCCATCATGGATGTTTGGGGGCTGGGGTGACACCCTGAGTTTACCGCACCGGGTGACACCAACCCTAGCTACGCCACTGACAATATGAACAAGTGCAACATATGTCAATAAATGTTCCAGACTTAATCAAATAACAAAATAATTCTTTCATTTTGATGTAAGAGAATTTAAAAATGTGATGTTGTTACCTACAATGATTGGGTGTGTGCCTGCTCAGCTAGTTTTGAATAAATATGTTAAAATTTTTTTTAAGTTTTCAAATTTAGTAGAGTTTGTTGTTGTTTGTCAGTCTGGAATCGACCATGACCACTTTAATCATCAGATTTGTGCTAGTTCTGTTTGAGTGCACAGATGGCTAATGAGGCCGATTCTGGCACAAAATAGTAGAGTTTACTGCACGTCTGAAAAATCTTCACAATTTTTAAATGTTTAAGATTGCATGAGATAAGACATAATTTAAAGAAATGTGCTTGAAGAATGTTGTGTGTTGTGATTAACAAAAGTAACAGCATGCTTAAATCTTATATCATTTGTAAGATACTTGTGAGGGGAGTTTAATTAAATTTTTGAGAATATAAGCTCAAGATGGGTCACTTTCTCTAACATATGTTTATTTAGTATGTACATATGTGTATTTATTGATTGAGACTAAGGTTTTGGAAATACTTTGCTAGAATTGGCTACATGTGCTTTGTTTATATTTGCAGTAACTAATTATGGGAATGAGAAGCTGCTGATTATGTACAAAGTCTTTGTGATGAACCATTTATTAAGAGAAGATTTTTATGAAGACATGTCCTAACCATGGTTCTTTACTTTAACATGTTTTTTTTAGCAAAAAAAAAAAAAAAAAGTGGGTTAATTTGTAGATGTTGTAATACCTAATGTATGTTTTCCGAACATTTGTAACAGGTAACTTTGATGTCTGAGTGTTTTGCCACGGATGATGACCTAATACAAAGTCTTTGTGATGAACCATTTATTAAGAGAAGATTTTTATGAAGACATGTCCTAACCATGGTTCTTTACTTTAACATGTTTTCTTTAGCAAAAAAAAAAAAAAAGTGGGTTAATTTGTAGATGTTGTAATACCTAATGTATGTTTTCCGAACATTTGTAACAGGTAACTTTGATGTCTGAGTGTTTTGCCACGGATGATGACCTAGACGCAAGTGATGAAAATACTTTGGAAGAATCAAAGGATGTGACCCATAAAAAGATTAGGAAAAGGAGTGGCTCACTGACAGGTATGCTTTCTGTTATCAATCAAACAAGATCGTTTTTTAAAAAAGAAACGAAGTGGCTATTCGGACCCGGGTCCCTTTAGACTAAATGCTATTCGGATGTCTTTTGTGGCAGTTTATTTTAGTTAAACTCAAGAAGTAAGTTTACAAACATAAAGTGCATTCAATAACAGACCTGTTTACTCTTAAAATCGTACACTATCATCACAAACTCGTTCAATACATTAACTAAATAGTAAAAAAATAAACATACAATATATATAATATATACACCTCAAAATGGTACATTGTACGCCAAATCGTAAGAGTAAACAGATCTGCAATTATCTTTTATTTGATACCAAGTTTTGTCTTACAAACCCAACAATAATATTTTTTAATAAACCCAAGACCCAACCTTTCACTCTTGAATCCCGGGTCCAAACAGCTGCAGCCATTAAAAATGCCTTTGAACATGGAATGTTGAATGTTAATGTGCCAAGCTGTATAAAACATTCTATGCCAGTTAATGTCTTCTATGTATCTCGGTATTGTAAAGTACATGTTAAAGCACATCTTCCTAGAAACTAACTTACCTCAATACGGCAGGCTTCACTACTGATGTTATTACTCTTAAGAAAAGGCAATTTCTGCAACTGCTTCAGTAGTCACATTTTCAACCAAATCAAATGTCTACACATCTATTTGTGGCTTTTAATTACCTAGTTGCAATCAGCTTAATATTGTAACAGTTTTACAACAAAAAAATCTCCAAAAATATCTTCCAAATATTTTCTGCAAAATTTTATCTGCATTAAAGCAAAACTATCTCTCATTTTATAAAAAAAATGCATGATTTTAGTTATGGAACCCCATGGCACAATGGTAACGTTGCCTGCCACTCAACCAGACTTTACTCAGGTGTTGTTCCCAGCATCCGTTAAATATTCTGGTGGAATTGACTTGTTTCCAAGTAATACTGCCATTCTTGGGGACTAGGTGGAGCTCTGAATTAAACACCTCAGTCACACTAGTTGGATGACAGCGCAGCCGTGGCTTGAGATTAAAAATATTTTTCTGTTCAGCTCGGTTAAACTGGCTGTATTAAATCTGAAAAGAATAAATTAACCCAAAAAAAATTTTGAAAAAAAAACTACTGGTAACTACTTCTTTTGTTGTATGAATCTTTTCAGTTAAAACATGCTTTTTTGTATGCTTCTCATTAAAATCAATATTTTGTATAAAAAATAAACAGGACTTGTAAGCTCCATTGCTCAAGGATTTGCCAAGTTACGGCGCAGTACAGATGGAAAAAACATTAATGTGTCTGCAAACAGTTCATGTCGGGGGGAAATGTCCATAGCCTCCAATAGCTCAGCCAGTCAGAGTGAGGAAATGTCTCTAAACCCTGTTACCCCATGTGTCATGAGAAAGAGAAGAGCTTCAGGAGATAATGTACCATTTTCTGCCTCTAAAAAGTAAGTTTTAAAATAGCATTGAATCTGATACCTATAAGATGGCCTTAAATTATATTTGTATTTGTAAGAAAATTTAGGTAATATATTTGAAGTAGTCCATGATCAATACTTGATTTTCCATAGTTTATCATTGCCTCCCTCACATCTGTATCCTTGTCACTTCAGCCCTTGTAGCCCTTAGGTTAGAACTGGGGTCAGAAACCATTTTTAAGTGAGGAGCAAATTTTATAAATATATAAATATTTTTGGAGCCACAGGGTGGGGCAGATGTCATTAAAAATCTGAATTAAAAAAAAAGAGCTTTATCTTCAGAGAGCTGCAGGTTGCCGACTACTGTTTTTTTAGCCTTAGTTCGAGATCTCCTCATTTTTCAAATGAAGCCTGATTTTTCCATTAACTTAATGGTTTTTAAAAGAAAATGCTATGGACCAATTATTTTAACCCTGTTTTTCCAGATCAATTTTTTTTTATTGGGACCCTAATCTTCAGTAAAAAAAATTTATTTAACTATAAAAAAAAAATCCTCCCAAACACAATGAGTAAGCAAAATAAAAAAAAGATAAAGAGCATGGCTGGCTGGGCAGTGAGACCCCAGTTCAAACAGCCTGTGCTACAGAACGTAAACTGACACCAGCAATAATTTAACAATCAATTTGATGACTTTTAAAACTGTTTACAGGCAAGCCATACTTGGTAACCTGCCACAGAGATCCGCTTTAGCCTCGACCCCGTTCACACCTGCTTCAACTATCAAGAGGGGAAGTCACAGGGCACATGGTATAATTAATTAAGGCCGTAAAAATTTAAAAAAATTGGGTTCATCTGCTTTTTTAGCCAAAATAATTCAAAAAGAGTTTGAAAATAAATAATTATTTATTAATTATAAGATAAATTATTTTTGCTAAAATTATAACCCATGTTATGAAAAAGAACCAGTGGAAAAAGTATTAGCATAAATTTGTAAATGTTTTCAGACACCAATGTACCAAGCACGCCGCTTCTCAATGCAACTACGCCCGCAATGGGAACAAAACCTGCCCGTAAGAAGTTGAGTCTCTTTACGTCACCAACCAGCAACAAGAAAATAAAGAGGTGAGTAGAGTCATTTGGCTGGGAATCAACAGCATGTTTTTTTTAATATGGGGACCGAGGGGGGGAGGTCTCATTGAGATTTTACAGATGTGTAAGGTATCCAAACAAATGCACATTCTCAGATGTGATTCTAGGATTTGGGGGGGATTTCAGATCATTTGTTCAATAGTGGTAAAGTTATTATAGTCTGAACCTTTTCATTAGCACATTTAATTATTGGGTGAATTAGAATTAGAAAAGAAACAAAATTTTATTGAAATATGAATGAATTGATTGTTCTTAAATTTTTAAGTTAAATCTCAATTTTTTTTTTTTGGGAGGGTTGTTAATTTATGTATTATTAGCTTCATGACCAATGTGGTGTCTTAATAGATTGGTAGCAAAATGTCTGTTTGCTGCAATTCTAGGAAAGACAAATTCTTTGAAAGATAAAGTTTAAGCATTGTCTCACTAAAGATTTTTCTCTGGTTTTCTGTCTAGACAATCTTCAGCAGCTGCCAGTGTTGAACCGCCAACAATGCGAAATAAATCCTCTAAGAGTAAAAGTATATTTAAAAGACTAAGTGGAAGCCGTTCTGAGAAGGTAGCACTTTTATGTGAAAGATGAATTTATTAAAATATTAAATATAGTGTACAGCTTGACTTAGACATATAAAAATAGCCTTACCATGTGCACTCTAAAAAATCTATTTTGCTATATTTATGAATCGTTCCCAAACTTAATTTATTGTACCTTTTTGCTTTCTATAGTTACTGTGAGTTCATGGTACACAAATCTTAAATTGAATTTCCATCTGTAGCTAACTTATTTAAATTTTTTTTTAAAGTTCAAATTGGTGCTTTTAAATTTTGTTGTTTGTTATATTGATGTTAAATCAAACATAAAATAACTATCTATAAACAAATAAGCATTCAAAAATAAGCTTGTAATCAACAAGTTATTTTAAACATAATTTTGGGAATCTTATTTTACAGCTCCATGAAGAAACACAAGCAGCTGAACATATTGGAGAACGTCTGGCTTTCTCTGTCCATGCATCACCAAGAAGCACAGTGTCTGATTCTGTGCTCTATGACCAATCTGGCAATCTTCTTCGAAGCATGTCATCGCCAACCATCCAAGATGCAGAAGATTTTTCTGTCAATGTTGTGGATGACTCTATTTCCTTTGACAAAGATTTGAATCATGACCTGGAGACTCCTAATGATGAAACCAACTCTATGCAGGGGCAAGTCTTTAGCAAGTCAGTGACTGCACCAAATAAGATTACCATACCAGGGCGCTCCAAATCTGTGGACAGTCCTGGTCTGAGGAGAGGTCATCCCAACACTGTCAATAATGGACTGTTGAAGTTGGAGATGGGCACGACACCAAAACACAAGGGCAAACTTAACAAGTCGCTGATCAGTGAACCATGTCCTGTGATTGTACCCATCGTGCCGAACCCAGTGGACATCAGGCCTGACAGTGAGCTGAGACGCAGCAGGAGGGATGAGTTTGAAAGGGAGAAGATGAGACTACTCAAAAATGGGAGACAAGTGTTGACACCACCAGGTGATGTTCTTATGCATGATAGGGCGCATGAGAACAAGACATCTCAGTTAGAGAGCAGTTTATTGGAAGTTGTTTTGCCCCCGCCTCCTGGTTTCGGTGATCAAACCATGATTGAAGTTGATGTTGAAAACCAAGAGGAAGATGAAGAAATAGATGTCGGTTCAGATTTAGAGTCAGAGGCTGGATTTTCGACCATCTCAGGAGGCACAGTGATGAGGAGAACAGAATCAGGCAATTATTCACGACACAGCACTCAGACCATGTCCACGTCCACCCTGGCAAGCTCTGCATCCTGTGAGCTTAGTATGAAAGCTCCCAAGCCCACACTACAGCCATCCGTCAGTGTTGACAGTCTTCTCTCCATTGAAAGCATAGTTTCACAGGATAGTTCTGTGTCCCACCTTGGCTTGAGTCTGTCCTATGACAGTGGTAAAGGATCTCTTGCTGGGGAAATGGCTGATGATATGGGGACATCTACAAACTCTAACAGACATTTTGGGACCTCAGTCAGAGCCAAGCCAGGCAATAACAAACACAGTGAGGATCAAGTCATTCTCAGGCACCAAAGATGTGAACCAATGCAAGTAAGTGGTAATCAATCTTATTCAAAGCTAGAAGAAAGTAGAGGCTTGAAAATGCTTTGTGAAAACTACACGTCTATGTCAGAGGAGGATGATTCTTCTGAAATTAAAGGTGTCTGTAATATTTCGTTGGGTTCCCACCAACAAGATTTCGACAACATGCCCAGGAAGACGGACGTTTCCAGGAAGAAGTCAGTGTCGTCAGAAGATCTGAAGTCTGCTCAAAACAGATTGAAAGTTCCTGTCAGAGCTCACAGCATGTACGTATCTCCATGTAAAAAAATCAACTTCAAGCCACACCTGGAGATCACCAGACAGACACACAATATGCTGGCCAGGGCTGGTTACTTCAAGCCATCTGAAGACAAATCAAATAATAAGGATATCATTGTGCCCGTCAAGTCCCCCAAACGCTCACTCCACAGAGAGGAGATGATGAACTCACTGAGGTCAAGTTTTCATGAGAGACACGGTCGCGTCAATGCCTCGTTTAGGTCTTTGAGAAATTGCCCCAACACAACCGGTCTCGATGGCTCTGTGGTAGAAGAAAAAAGATATTTAAATACATTCTTATCTCAAACTTCTGATGTCCAGAATGCACACAGTGAAGACATTTTAGTCTCGGCCAATGACCAAATGGCTGTTGATGAATCTGAAACCACTGTGGATAAAACAGAACTCATGCAAAACATTTGTGAAGTATCTGCTAATATTGTTAGAGCTTTTGAGGATAGCCCAGTTTCACCCCAACAAGAGGTCATGGAGGTTGATGATGGGAGAGAGATGGAGAAAAGCATTGAAGTGGATCAGATGATGGAAACAACTTCACAAGCTCCAAGTGAGATTGCAACAGATGACATCCCAGCTCAGAAACCTTGTGTTGTTGACTGTAAACTGAAAGATGAGATCCCAGCTCAGAAAGCTTGTGTTGTCAACAGTAAACTGAAAGACATCAAAGAAGCCTTGACCCTGTCTGGGATGCTGGACAAGGCCATCGCCAATCAAGTCAAGATTAAGCGAGCTGAGATAATTCTACCCAAACACGACAGCATCTTAAACATCAAGCAGGCAGGTCTAGTGGCCAACAGCATCAAGCACTTCTCCCAGAATCAAAACCATGGTGTAAACAACAAAGCTACTGCACGAACAATTCTAAGACAAGGGGTTTCATTTTCACATGATCCTGCCAAGAATCAAGATGCTTCTCCTCATTTAAGAGATTTGGATAATTTATCCAGGGAAAGGATAGGAAATAAATGCTCTCACGTACCCTTAGAGATCAAGCCCTGTAGCATCGAACAAGATGAAGCGGATATGTCCGAGGGAGATTCGGCATCTGAAGGAAATGTTACCGTCCTTGAGATGACTTCTGAACAAACTAGTCTTTCAGCAACACCGGTCAAGAGACCTCATATAGAGCTCAGCGATTCCCTCATGGAGACCATCAATGACATCTGCACTCCAAGGGCTGATAAGTTCTTTTCTGTTGACTGTGATGAGGACCTAGTCAAGTCTCCCTTGAAAGAATCTACCAATAATATTCAGTCTGCCCTTGTTGCAAGTTTGAGAGCAGGAAGTCTGTCTGAAAATGTAAGTCCAATATTTTCACTTACCTCTTTAGTCCAAGGATATGAAATTGTTAAATTTTGAAGTCTTTCATAGCAAGCATATTTTAAAATCAAATAGGGTGTAACTTTATATAGAGAAAAGTAGCTTTTTGAAGTTGACATATGTAACAAAGGTAATGGAAAATGGAGAGTTTTAATGTCTGTTATGTAAATATGGGGAAATTTTAAAATTTTAACACTTAAAAAAAAAGATACGTTTGGACATAGTTACTAAATATTACTTGTTATGTTTGTTTTCTTCAAAGTGAGTTTAACATCTTGATGAATAAAATGATATTTCTCTAATGTAACATATATTTTTATTTCACTATATAGATCAAGTTGCGGACTGCATCAAAGACTCCTCATCGTCTGGTACTTCCAAATGAGATGAAACCATTACAGACACCAGTCTCTGCTAAATCCCACCGGCCACAGATCAAGAGACTTCGAACTTTTCATTCCCCCCGCAAGGTCAACCACAGGTCACCAAAGTTGAAATCGCCACATCACTTGAGATCCCCTGGCAAGTTTTCAGGCCCCAGTTAAAATTTTTGATTGCTCAACTGATTAATTACTTTTGTACATTCATGAAAAGGGAGGTGTCCCTATAAATTATCTGTACAGTCTGCTTGATTTGTTGTATAATTTTCCAAGTTACTGCGCATGACTTCTATAAGACTAAATATAAAGTCGTTCTTCTGCCAACATCAGACTGATTTCCCCAAGCTTCTGTGCAATTCGTATACATTAACATGCCATTTTTTTTCATTCAGCTTATTTATTTAACTGTAATGGGGGTCGTGTTTTAATGACATGGTCAGTTTGTTTCGTGGAACCAAGTTTCCTCAGCTGTACAGGCCAGGTTGTGTTCAATGACATGGTCAGTTTGTTTGCTGGAACCTTCGGGTCAAGAGCAAAGCAATGACCAGAGAAATGACTGGGCCAATAGCTTAAATTCCATTGATATCAATAGTGCTGCTTTCTTGCTTTTATGCATTGTAGAATAGTTTTGTACCTGATAAAATTTGAGGCTGTTTGTGGCTACATATAGATGTTCCGCTATAATGAGGTGCTGGGAGTAGATAGTTTTAAACTAGTTTTTACAATATTTTTGAATCAATTTGTTCTGTTTTTGGTAATTTAAAAAAAATTCCTAGCATTTAGTTGTTTTTCTCCATTAATTGCCTTCCCGTTTTGCAAGGTTAGAGAATACCGGCCCATGACATTGCTTATAAATTTTGGGCTTGAAGAGGAATAAATAAGTTTTTATTTAAATCGTAAAATGCACAGAAGACCAATGCAGGTGGTTTTACTGGACCGTATCACGGTCAGTCCCTTGCTATCTTTATCCATGAATCTGCCCCGCGCTTAATGAAATGGCATTAAAAAAATGTATACAATCTTATTTCAGACAAATGCCCATATCATATCACAAATATTTAAAACTAACTTTGGAGAAAAATTTTTGTCCTGTTTTTGGGATAAGCTCAATCTTATTTCAGGCTGGTGGAATTTTATGCTTAGATTTTTTTACCGTGACCATTTTTAACCAGGTTGTGAGCTTTATTTTCCTTTCAGTTTATTTTGATTGGAAATAAAATATCCTTTAGATTTGTAGAACTTGAATGATGAAACTTTGTTTATGTGCTGTTTGCAAATACTGTAAATCAGTGTATGTATTTTCAAACACTTTAAAACAGAACAATATTTAAATAGTTTATTTTTTTTTAAAAGAAACTTTGTTTATGTGCTGTTTGCAAATACTGTAAATCAGTGTATGTATTTTCAAACACTTTAAAACAGAACAATATTTAAATAGTTTATTTTTTTAAAAATAATTTTTGACAACAATTTTACCAGCACATTCCTTGTTTTGAGATAAGGGCAGTTTACAATATTTACATTTAGCATTAAGAGTATTTTGTGACATATGTCATCCCCTGGTTTGCATTAATGCCACAATCAAATGCAGTGTTTTCCTCAATTGTAGTATGTTGAGTTTCCAAACATGTTGTCCACATTAAACATGCTAAATGACAAGTTTCACATACATTTGGTGCTTGTAGTCCATAAGAAAATGTCAAGTTATCCAAGATATCCATAATCTATAGATGCTGGTGTCAGCCTCACCTATGATCCATTCGACACACATCTTTATATTACTATTATTACTCATGTTGATTCAGCCCTACCAGTAGTAACCATGTTTGAGTGTGTGTGTGTGTTTCTTACAAAAGACTAAAAGAAATTAATTATATTGATGGTTTACTCGTACGTTAGTTTTTATTAAATGTTCTCAGCAATAAAACTTTGTATCATTACATTTACCAGCTGCTGGTCATACAGCTGGGACATTACAATGCATTGTATGAATATATGGATGTGTTTGCAGCATGATTCAATGTAAGAAAAAACTATTTTATTGGTATCAGATGCATTTTTTAAGAAATTGATTAAATTTGGTAATCTACACAAGCCGTAGAACTCATAATGTAAACAATGATGTTGATGAATGTATTCCTACAGCACACAGGTTCATAGAGCCGCCTGTCAGCACACAGGTTCATAGAGCAGCCTGTCTGCACACAGGTTCATAGAGCAACTTTTCAGCACAATTCATAGAGCAGCCTGTCAGCACACAGGTTCATAGACCAGCCTGTCAGCACACAGATTCATAGAGCCGCCTGTCAGCACACAGGTTCATAGAGCAGCCTGTCAGCACACAGGTTCATAGAGCGGCCTGTCTATGTAGTTTTGAAGGAATTTGTCAGTTGTTGGTGAGTGGAGTTTGTCTCTGGTGTTTGACCACATGGTTGTTGCCTTGTCTGTTCCTTGTCTAGTGTACCATGGTCTGGATGTTCCTTGTCTAGTGTATCACGGTCTAGATGTTCCTTGTCTAGAGCAGCACAGTCTGGATGTTCCTTGTCAAGTGTAGCACAGTCTGATGGTTTTTTTCTCTGTTCCATCAAATATCCTCTCTAAAAAATCCTCAACTTAGAGGTAACAGTAGGAAAGTATGCCAGTAGAGTTGACTGATCCGGTTGAGTTGACTGATCCGGTAGAGTTGACTGATCCGGTAGAGTTGACTGATCCGGTTGAGTTGACTGATCCGGAGGTGGACATCCTTCTGTGCAATGTCTGTTCATTGTGTGATTGCTGTGCATGATTTCTGTAAGCCCACAGTCAACAATAAATAGGGAGTCTCATTTTTTTTTTTTTAAATGTGGCATTTTCTTACTGCTGAAAATAGAAAGCCATCCTAACAATTTGATCAGAGTTTGTTGTGTTTGAAATCAAATCAGCTGTGTCATCTTGTGTTTATGCATTTAGTTCATGAGATCAGTTGAGACAGTACAACTTAATTGAGGTGGTACACATTTTTAGAGGAAGTACACATTTTTTGAGACAGTAAAACTTGCTTGAGACAGTACACATTTTTTGAGACAGCACACATTTTTTGAGACAGTATAATTGCTCTCAATCAATTTAAAAATGCTTCACTGAAGATTTGATTATATTTAATTTATTTCCATATTGTTCATAGTACCTGATTGTTAAATGCAAAATATGTAAATATTGATTGAACTTGAATTATTATACAGAACTGTGTCTTATATTACAATCAGCATGTCTTATAATGAACCAAATTATTTTGTCTATGAAAACTTTGCCTGTGGTGTGAGTGCATAAACTTGATGTAAATATTTGTGTACATATTAAATAAACTTGAGTAATCAGTGCTTTCAATATGAAATGGGAGTTTTAACTAAAAATGTAAAAAAAAATAATTATATACAAGCTCTTTCCCATGTTTTGAAAATCCTATACTTTAATAAACTGCTTGGCACTAACGATTTCATAAGTTTATTGTGTTATATCTGCTGTCATGTGTCATTGTAAGATTTGATAGGTAGATATAACTCATGTCAACCCATCTTGATTCAGGAGTCCTGTCATGAGGTATTATACTAATTATAGTATTGAAGATATATTTGTTAGATATTCTTGAGTCAGGATCTGGAGAAAATGTCATAATCCATCCATGACATTACTACTACAAGAGTTATAATTTAATATAGACACACTACTATTTGAGAACCTTTGAATACAACTTGACTTGGTGGTTGACAATTTGTGAAGTTCATTAAATCCATAGAGATGAAATCATGTGTCAGCTTAAATATTATTATACCACAGCCAAGTCAAGTCTTGCAGTGTATTTCATCTTCAAATTTAAGTGGATTTTGATAGACATATTTTGAAATATATCCAATATTACATTTTTGTTTTAATCAAGACTTTACTAAACTTTAAATAAAATAGGTACATCTATTTATTACCCAGTATTGGTACAGTAAAACCAGCCTAGGTTGAGATAGAAGGTTCTATCCAAATAAAACAATTTAAAAAAAAAGTAATTCTAATGAATTATTTGACCATTAAAAATAGTGTTGCTAAATTTTCTTAAAATCAACGCTGCATTTCAAGAAGGTTAAAAATAAAATGTGGGATTTGACCCTGGAAAATTATGTCTGCTTTCCCCCCTTTAATGTGTGTGAATCTAAGGATTCTGCTGCTGATGTATCAATCAATGAAATTCTCCATGTAAGAAAAGAAAATTTGGTGAGTGTAATGGTGAGTTCAATAGCACGCAAAATAAAATTCCCGATAGATGCACTAAATGAGATTCTTAGAAATACCGCAAGTGCGTTTGGTGCGTAATAATTTAAACATTATTAGAAATTCAATAAATAGTCTCAATTTGAATATGATGTAATAAATCTTCAGTGTAAAGTGGGGTGGGACATCAGAATATTAATATGTTAAGTAGTAGCATTTTATATGAAGTAACTTTTAGTAGATGGGAAGTTCTCGCATCGCCGCCGCCATTGTCTGGCGGGGTATAATGGCCATAACTAATATGAAGTTGTACATACTTTTTTTTTAATACAATTGGGACATTTGTTCAACAGACGACTATATCTATTCAATGGGAATATAGACTACTTACACTTGTATAGTTACCAAGCCGTAAATAACAATACATTCTTAACACAGTAGGATATAAATATTTTGTTTTATATTTTGAAAGCTTAACGCTGGGGGGGGGGGGGGGAGGGGGGGGGGGAAATTAAATGCAACATTAAGAAATTAAATTAATGGACAGACAACCGCGATGGAAATACCGTTCTAGATTTAAATGGATTAACTCCCTGACACTACAATGGCGCACCACAATGACGCCCCTGCCCAGATTGCCCTCGCACCGTTTGAAAATGTCTTCCTTTTATTTCCCGGGTAGTTACAAATCTGTGACCTGTCCACTTTATTTCTCAGAATCGTTTAAAAAACAAAAATAGTTTTTATAACTCAACAATTCAACTTTATTTTGTTAAATGTATGAGTTACATACTTGCCGCATTACATGTTTACAAAATTCTGAGATGTTTGCCAACGATTCTTGACGTTACAACAAAGCCAGTCACTCAATCCACTTGCACATCGATCGAAGCAAACCTTAGATCGAAGCACACTTAAGATCGAAGCAAACCTAAGATCGAAGCAAACCTAAGATCGAAACAAACCTAAGATCGAAACAAACCTAAGACAGTTTTAAGCTAGCGTTTGCCAACAGGATTGATTCCATTTTAACGGGACTTACAGTATAATACCCTTCTGCGCCACAACGGACAACGGATGCCACCATGGATACAATATCCAGCTCCCAGTACCGT